CCGTTCTCCAAATACTGGCGCTTTTTTACTCCTGCTGTTCTTTGGGATTCCCAAAGCACTCTTGGTTCCTATCTGCACCGTGGCTCAGACCCTGTGTACTATGGAAATATGACAGAGTCCCATTCCCAACCTCCCTGGCCTTTGTAACCTGGGACCCAGGGTGGGGGAAATGTCTCCCCGTCCAAAATCTGGCCAGAAGCTGGTCTCTGACCTGCCTCTACCTAGCTGGTTCCAGGGCCCCACACCTCTAGGGTCATTCAGCTACACACCCAAGCAGAAGAGGGCTGCAGTCACCAAATCCTTGGGCTAGTCCCAGAATAGGGATCCATGGCTTTTCCCACCTATACCTTCCGGGTCTACAAGTTTGGCCAACAGCCAGCCACCAGATCCCAGGCAAAGGCTGAGACAGCTGAGGGCTGGGCTCCTGGGACCACACCCAGTTGGCTAGAAGGCACTGGGACAGTGTATGGCAGCACTGAGCTGGGTCACCCACGTCAGAGGCTAGTACTCTCTCCTTGACTTTCTCAGGTCCTAAGGGGAAGGAAACAGCAGTGCTCCCTTTCCTCAGGATGCAGAGATGGGGTGTTTTCAGAGCCTCCAGGGCTCATTCGAGTTTAGGATGTTAGGGCATTAAGGCATGTGAGGGTGTGGCTTAAATGAACTGGCATTTCCACTCTGCAAGGCATCATGGCTAATCTAGAGGAAGAACCCTCTGGGTTTAGGCTGGAGACAGTGCCATCCAGCTGTAGAGGCAGCCAAGGCCCTGCACTGCCCCCTGGTGGCATCATGTGAAGGAGGGCAGGGTTCTCAGCTAATGGAGCTCAACCCTCTGCACTACCTACAGCTGGAAGGTTGAAGGCCAGAGAAGGACAGAGTACCACTCAAGGTCAATGGACAGTGGAAGAAAGGCAAAGGCGGGCTCAGCTGGTCTCTGTCCCACCCACTGCACCACCCCTTACCCCCTTCCAGAGCCTCCTCTTTCCCTTTTTTCTTCCTGACCCATCCAGGCTTAGCAGAAGCACCAGACTCAGAAAGACTATGAGCTGAGAGAACAATTCCAAATTATCTTTTATTTATACAAAAATGGCATTTTAGCAAAAGACATTGAGAAAAGAGTCGCTATGGCCCAGGAGATGAGGCAGGGAGGCAACAGGCCTTCTGAGGCCCTGCTGGGGTAAAAGGGGTCTGGGGAAAGTGGTGAGAAGTCCTGGGTAAGTGCTGAGTGGTGGGGGCCGCAGAAAGGAGAAAGCTCCAGTTGGATCAACACTGTTGGCAGGTCATGGATGGGACTCACAGTGACCTCGCTGTTAACTCTTTCAGGGGTTTCAGTTAGTGCTGCCGACTGGAGTGAGAGCCGCCTACTGGTTCCTGGAGGGCACCCACCAGAGGACACAAGTCAGGAAGCCCAGGATGGGAAGTGCAACTCGGGGTGAAGGCCAGGGAGAAGCAGGTGCTCTGCAGTGGCCAGGAAAGGTCCAGATGCTGAGGTGGAGTCTAGTCCTGTTACGTGCGAGCGTTCCGCTCTGTTTCTGCCAGGCACTCTCTGACTAGGGCCCGGGCATGGATGATGCCTGGAGTGGGAATGGGGAAGTAACATACAGGATCTCAGCGACCCTCCACAGTCCCACCCCCATCCTCCAGAGGAAGACCCCTCCCTCTATCTCCTTTCCTTTCAGTAAAAGGGACTATAATCTAATGAAGGGCTGGATGAGATAAGAAGTTTGGATAATCTTCAAAACTTCTCTGTTTAAATATAAATTCCCTGGCCCTTCCCTGGAAATTGACTCAATTTCAATTCAATTCAAAACGCCTCTCTGGATAGTGATACTGGCCCTAGTCTAGGCTTGGCTCAGATGGCCTCCAGATGTCTTCCCTTCCCTAGTGAAGGACTGTCCAGTGTTAGTCTTCTGGGCAGGGGTGGTGGGCCTGGTCTCACTTACCTCTCTTCAGGCGCTCCATGGCGCTCTTGCTGCCAGCATAGGTGGGTCGGATCTCTTTGCCCATCTCCTCTATGACCGACAGCAGGTCCGTGTAAGTGCTCTGGGAACCCTGGGCGCCAGGTGGTTTCATTGCCTATGTCAAAAGAGAATAGGGCAGTGATCTTAGTCCAAGAGGGGGCCTCCAGTGCCCATCAATAGGCAATCCTTCAGCTCCACTCACCTGTACGTAGCCCATGGAGGGCGGTCCAAAGTCATTAAACAGTGGTCTGAAAGGGGCAGCGGCTCCCGGCACCGAGCCCGATGGCGATGGGACACTTCCGGCTGCAACATGCAAGAGTAAGAGGTCAGCGAGGGGCAGGGACGCCTCGTCCCGGCGTTCAAGCCCGCGACCGGATTCACACCATTCCCTGCAAAGGAATGCTTCAGTCAGGCTGCTTAACTTCAAGACAAACCCCTCCCCCTGAGCATCACCAACAAGCCCTTACGTGACCACGCCCACTTCACAGGCCAGCAAACTGAGGCTCAGGGAGGGTAAGCAGCAGGCCCAGTGTTGCAGAACTCAGGCCGTCTTCTCGAGATAGCGACCGCCCGGGCAGGAGAGCAGGGGTGGATCCTCACCTGTAGGGACCGGGGTGCCGGGCCCAGGGGTGCTGGAGCCAGGGGTGCTGCTGGGGGCGGGGGCGATGGGTTTGTAGGACATCCCCAACTCCTGGGTGCGGCAGACGCCGGCCGGCCGCTCCTCCCGGGTTGGCTGCCTGGCCGCTCAGCCGCGCTCTGATTGGCAAGCCGGCAGCACGCCCCTGGTAAATAGAGCTCAGGCCGGAAGGACGGGCGGGTAGGAACGCTCCCTCACTCCCGATTGGCGCGCGAAGATGTCACTCGGGCCTTCTCATTGGCAGAGGCTTGCCCCAATAGGCCGCAACCACTGCTGATTGGCCCCCGCCTTCCGGACCTCGCACCTGTCTGCTCCGGATTGGGCGACGGCCGACGCCCTCCGCAATTGGCGAGTTCGCGGCCCGGACAGGCGCGCTCTCAATTCGATTAGTCCCAAAGCCCGAGAGGCGGGGCCTCGGAAACCCGGACCTGGGTCTGGTCCGTCGCGGTTCGCGCAGAGCGGGTGTTTCCCGGGCTCGGGTGCCAACCTCACACCTCACTCGCTTTGTACGTCAGCTTCACGCTGCCCGTCCCATCCAGCTGGGGCTGCTGTCGCCGTCGCTGTCGCTGCCTCCGCGCGCGCACGCCTTTCCGCCGCTCTGGGTGCCGGAGGACGCAGGGCTTTGACGTTCCGAGCCCTGCGCCCCACCCCGTGCGCTTTTACGTCACCTTTCACCGGTTCAGCAACCTGTCCGCGATCCACGCATGCGCCCTCTTCAGGGCTCATTTGTTCCCATGGCAACGGGTCCCTCATCAACGCTACAGACGCGCCTGCTCCTCCCAATTGCCTGGACGTCGGGTCTAGGCTAGTGTAAGGTTCAAGGGCGACCTCAAAGACTCTTCAACCTGCCCCCCAACCTCCAAGGCTCCAGGCCTGTGCCTCATAAGGACAATAGCAGGAACAGCTAACCTTGAATACTTGCTGCATGCCAGGCCCTGTACCACGGACCATCCTGGACATGGGCCATGCACCATCTGATTTCAATTTCACACCCCCACCCACGCTAGCGATTTGCACTTGGGCAAGTTACCTCGATGATATGCCTCAGCTTCCCCATCTGTAAAATGGGGACACTAATAATTATAAGGTTCTTGTGTGGATTAAATGAATATTCATAGACTGCTTATTGTTTCATTCTACTTTTTCCCATCCATTTCTCCACCCAGACCTCTCCCCTCAAATCTTATTCCTCACAACCCAAGATCTTGGACTGTCCTCCAAACACTAACCCTGCCTGCCAGGCTACTTCTCCCCAAAACTCTGGCCTTGTGTACCCTTGATGCCCCCAGGTCTATAGGTTTTCCTCACTCCCAGGACATTTATTCATTCACTCATCCAACAAACATTTTCTGACTCCATCCTCCATCTCAGGCCTTGTTCTGGACACTGATACTAAAGTGAACTGGCCATAGCTTCTGTCCTCAAGGAGCTCCTAGTCTCAAGGAGAGACAGACAGAGAAGCAAAGGCACACAATACAGTAAGACAATGTGGAAACTGGGACAAGATGCATTGGAACTTAGAGGAAGGGGTCTGTCTCGTGACATCCAGAAGTCTTCCCAGAGACGGGGGCATTCAATAGGTGAATGGATAAGTAAACCATGAAATGGCTATACAATGGACTATTCAGCAGTAAAAGGAAATAGTCTTAGGAGCCTCAAAAAGACACAGGCAGGCATATTGCTGAGTGAAAGAAGCCAGTCTGAAAAATCCACATACTGTATGATTCCAATTGTATGACATTCTGGTAAAAGCAAACTTATACAGAGGGTAAACAAGTTACTGGTTGCCAAAGTGAGGTTGAGGGGTAAAGCATAGGGAATTTTTTTAGAGCAGTAAGATGATTCTGTGTGACTGTAATGGTAAATACAAGACATTAAGCATTTGTCAAAGAGGAAACTTTAATGTATGCATACTTTAAAAATTATTTAGGAGATCAAGGGATCCCAGGATGGAATGCAGAATATAACAGAAAAATTCAGCTGTATCACAAATGTATAAAGCAGCCTCACTAAAGGGAGGAGGGGAATAAGGTGCTAAGCTGGAAATGAGTGGAGTCTGAAAGAACAAAGACAAAAATGTAAATGTAGAATGGGTGATTTCTCTCTTGGAATAAGTTACAGGTAAGCAAGGGGAGGAGGCTAGAATGATCTATGTGGTCATGGATTGGAGTTGGAAATATCAGCATGAATTCATGTTTAGCTTCATATAAATACAGTTGGTTACATACAAAAATATTTTAAAATTTACAGGTTAGTGTACATATATATGTCTCCTCACTCTGTCAACTGAGAGGGCCTAGAGGCAACCCAGCACTCAGTTCTTGGTTTCTATACCATTCCCAATAAAAGGAACCAGAGTGTTTTGGAGAAATGGCTGATGCTAGGACTGGGGCAGGAAATATACAAGATGATTCTGGAGTATCTAGTCGTGTCAGAAAGTAAGAAAATGCTAAAACAAAACAAAACAAAACAAAGCAAAAAACCCCAAACTCCAAACCCCATAATGATGGGAGTATGTCAAAGGGACACAGGAACCAACTGAAAGAGTGTCCAGTGGCCAAAGGTGGAGCAATTTGAGGAAAAAAATAAATAAAATAGTATTGGATTATAACTTGTATCAAATAAATATTTATGAGTCCATATTGATATAAATAAATGATTGAAAAAATAAATAAATGGAGAAGAGACAAATCCAGGAGAATTTCAAGTAATTTATGTAGAAACTCTGCCCTTAATGAGGAGGTTTATTAACCCTCCATCCCTTAAGTGCAGGCTGTACATGGTGACTTCCTTCCAAGAGTACAGTACATAACAGGGGAAAGAGTGGTTTTACAGTACGGAAACCTGACAAACACTATCTTAAGCAAGGTGATCAAGGTCAAAATTAATGGTGATTACATGTTGATATTGTGCACTCTTGACATGTTGGGAGGAGAACCGCACTTTACCTCTATAGTCTTCCTCCCCCACACCCATAACCCCAGACTAATCGTGAGAAAAACATCAGACAAATCCCAATTTAGGGACCAGTCCTCAAAACTGTCAAGATTAAAAAAAAAATAAAAAAGGAAATCTGTAAAACCATCATGACCAAGAAAACCCTAAGGAGACATGATACCTAATGTAATGTGATGTCCCTGATGGCATTCCGGAAGAGAGTAAGGACAATCGGGAAAAGAGATGACATCTGCATAAAATGTGGACTTTGGTCAATAATAATGTCTGTATTAGTTCATTAACAGTGACAAATGTACCATTCTAATGCAATATGTGAATAGAGTGTTATGGTTAATTTATGTGTCAATTCGACTGGGTCACAGGGTGCCCAGACCTTTGAGCAAACATTATCCTGGGTATGTCTGTGAGGGTGTAGCTGGACAAAATTAATACCCATTGAATCTGTGTAAAGCAGATGGCTCTTCCCAGTGTGGGTTGAAGACCTGAAAGGGACAAAAGGTTGAGTAAGAGGGAATTTTGCCTGCCTGACCATTGAGCTGGGTCATCAGTCTTCCACCCTCAGAAAGAAACTTATGACATCAACCTTCCTGGTTCTCTGGTCTTTGGACTTGGGCTGAAACTATGCCGCCAGGTCTCCTGGGTCACCAGCTTGCTGATGGTAGATCTTGAGACAACTCAGTGCCCATAATTGCCTGAGGTATTTCCTTGCAATAAATATCTTTACACACACACACACACATATTTGTTCTGTTTCTCTGGAGAACCTTGACTAACACTTCGCAGAAGATGGATGTGAGGTATTCAGGAACTCCCTGTCCTATCTTCAAAATAATTCTGTAAACCTAGAACTACTCTAAAATAAAACAACTGAATGTAATATCTTTATCTGGGTTATGGTTACCCATGCGCATATACATGTCAAAATTTACTGAGCTGTACATCTAAGATTTGTACACGTCACTGAATATGCGTTATGCTCAAACTATTTAAAGTGGACTTAATGTAAAAATCTCAATTTATGGCTTCTTTTGGAAAACCAGAAGACCCATGGCTCTGGCTTGCTCCGGCTGGCAGCAACCAATTGAGTTGGGTGGCAGACGGCCCCTTTAGGTGGGGAGGGGCTCCTGGCTCGGCATGGTTGCTGCCTGCTGACTGTTTCTTCCCAGCCCTGGTCCCTGCTCCAGCTATGTCTGTTTGGAATTTCCGGGTTAGCAGCCTTTTTGGGGTGGCAGGGCATGAGTGAGATTTGGGGGACGTTGTGGGCACTTCTGATGTCAGCAGTCACACTGTAGCCAATTAAGATCATCCTGCCAACTGTCCCCCAACCCCCCAACCCCTACTCCAACCACAGAGCCTGCTAAGCTGGGGCCAGGGGGCTGTGGGAGGCTGACCTTGAGTGGGGTCTGGTCTTCCCCTGGCATATGTCCATCACTATCCCCAGCCCCTGCAGAGGGGACAGACTTCTTTTCAGGCAGTGATGCCATCTGTGCCAGCCGGTGGAGGGCAGTGGGAGGGAGAAGCTGCAGGGCTGGGGCAACTCTTCTTCCTCATCCCTAGGCCTGCCAAACTGGCAGGAGAGATCACCTAATTGAGGATTAAGGATTAATTGTGATCTGCCAGGCAAGTGGTACTGAGGCTGCTGCAGCCAGCCCTGCACCTCGGTACTAAGCTCTGGGCTGGGCGGAGCACCGGTGGCTGCCTGCCTACTCTGTCTCAAGACTATCTTGTCAGCCACAGAGATGGTGAGGACCAGACACAAGCACTGAAAGCTCCCTCCCAGCAGGTGGGAACAGCTGGTCAGGCCATGCTCTACAGACCAGCCAGGACTTGGCCGTAGTTCGAAGAGCCTGAGGCCTGTCTTGGGTCCACTCTGACCTGGTGGCACCCTTTCTTGTTGGCACTGTGATTTTATAGTCCCCAGGCCTTGGTGCAAGTCCCACCTCTGCTTCATCCTAATGTGTGTGACTTTATGCCAGTTCCTCATCCTCCCAGAGCCTTTTGGTGCCTGGCAAAGGGGCTGGATCATCCTGGGGGCCATAGAGGGTCATGACCAGTTTCTGAATAGGAGTGTGATGAAATGCAAATGGCAGCTTAGGAAGAATAATCCAGTGCTGCAAGGACTGGAGGGGAGAGATGGCAGTGGAGCGGCGTGACTTCCAGCAAGTCGCTGGGACTTGGCCTCCAGGGGGCCTCAATCTGGAAAATGGGGCCATGAAGACCATGGTAGGGGTGGAGTGAGGAAATGTGTCATTTGGTTTTCCCAGGAAGCAGACATTAAGATGAAGTTAGAGAGACAAAAAAGAGAAAGCAGGAAAAAGCAGGACTGGGCAGGAGAGCCTCTGATTCGAGGCTGATCTGACCACACCTCGGCTAACCTGGAGGGAAGCTCAGAGCACAGATCACCTGCAAGAGGAGCCTCCCATTAGTCAAAAACGTGCGCAGCCTGGTCCCTGCCGGCTAGGTCAGTGGCTCCCGGCTCCAGGGAAGGGCGAAGCACTAGCCCAAAAGCTGAGGTATATTCTGATGGGGGCTGTGAGCTCACTCACTTCTCTCAGCTGACCAGCAAGTTCTTTCCTGAAGGGAGCTTTGAGCAGTATCCCTCTCAGACAAAATGAGATGGAGCGTGGGAGAAGCCCTCATGCACTGGCTCCTCTGCTGTAATCCTGGGTCTGGCAGGAGCCACTCGCAGGATGT